ATACCAGACCGATAACAGCCCGAGAATGGACTGTGATCGGCACTATAGTGTGATTTTGCCCTTAGACTTATCTACATTCTATATATAAAGTGATATAAGATATAAGTATAACCAAAAATTTTAAATCTTTTTAATAAGAAAGGTTTAGGTTTAAAATACTCTTATTTTAGGTTTTTATAGACTGTGCAACGCGTTACATAGTATAACATATATTTCTTCTTAACAAACTTCTAATCATAATAAAGAAGGTAGCTGCTTGACGCGTATCTTCGCATCAAATAGCAATTTAGTTATCCGGTATATTGGAAAATAATTAGGTCTGAGCTCCAAAGCTTTATTTGCGGAAGTTACTCAGACATTAGCGATAGACAAGGGTATGATATAGCTTACACGAAGTTTGAAGATTGGAGTAAACTTACATTTTTATTAAGGATATTATATAACTTTATAGATTATACCTATAATTACAAATTAAAACTATTGTTCGCCCAGTGGTCGACCGTAATCATTATTTTTAACACTTAAACTCGTCAATACCTAATCGGTTGACAAACACAGGAAAAGAAAACGTACTTAACTGTTATGTCTTTACCTATTTATTATATTTGTAGATATTAATTATATGTTTATGTAGGTACTAAAAGAGCTTGAGCTTATAATTAGCACCTACATTTTAAAGGAAACACTAAAAAAACAGTTTAAATAGGAGTACAGCACTTGTCAATGTCTATATGTATGCATATAACAGTTGATACTGACACTAACACAGTAGTCGCGGGTTCGAATCACGTAAAGGAGAATATGTCCAAATGTTTTCATGATCAAAACTAGTTATGAAGATGGTTATATAGCCCAAGAACGTTTACCTTACTTTACCACTGAGTAAACATATAGGTAATATCTTTTGTCTTATATGATGATAAGGCTTGAGGGACATCTCTTTGATTTCTGAAATAATACTATTTGTTAGATATTAAATTTACAATATACGAGTACCTACGCATTTACCATTGATAATATTTATCAAAAAATATAAGCAACTGTAATGTAAATAGTATTTTACTTTCAGAAAATGGTTATTAACTAGCAATTTTGAGAAATAAGTGCTTTGGAAACGTGCCATCGAAAAACGATATGGAAAAAACGAAGGCATTTTGCGCTAGCACTATTAAAAAGTAATTTTTCGCAACCCGGAATCGTTCGGATGGGGCTAAGTAAGGGGTGTGTAGAGATCAGATTGAAGTATCGATTCATCATATTCCTACTTGGGTAGATATTGTGCGCGTGGTGTCGTAACTAAAGGTGGTTTTGTGGTGACCTTCTTATGTAAATATTTTGCTAAATACTATATACTCGTATAATATTGCTGTTGACGGATATTGATGAAATATTTTCAATTTAACTAAATTATTTTTAAACCTATGTTATGACAAATTATTACTTTTTAATTTTATCTAGAAGAATCCACCTAGATAGCCTATAGTTACACGGCTTGATTGATGTTTTTTTTATTTTTATTGCAGCTTATACAAGATGACAGTCTACAATCGTTTATGTATCGGAAACAAAAAAATATCAGCTATGTTTTATATGAGAGCGCGTAGTGTCGCGTAGTGGTCTCCAGCTGTATATTTGATGAAACCTCTTTTTAGTTTAGAGAATTAGTACAGCAAATACGCTATATATATATATATATATATATATATATATATATATATATGTATGTATGTATATTTCCGTGGAATACTTCATAAGTTATAAGCAACTAAGCAAACAGCCAAATCAAAAAGATGAACATTTTAAAAACAGATTTCGGATTTAATTTCGTCTCAAACATTTTCTAAATACATTTTCAAAGCCAATATAATTTTAATAAAATTTTAGGTATACGTATATCGATATTATTATGTAAATACATGATAATTCTTAAGCTAACAAATTACTTTCACTACGTATTGTTTCTTTTTACATTTTTATATAAATACCAGTTATTATAAATATATTGGTAGTAAACAAAATATGTCAAAATAAATCCAACAGGGGTCCGTACAAACAATACGATGTTAATTGGTTTTTGCATATTAAATTCTGATGTGTGATATATGTATGTATTTTGAAGCACTAGCGGTTTACCATCGCTTCACTTGGGTTCACCTCTAAAAAAAACAAAATCAAATCTATCCCACGGGAACCCTTCATTTTACCAAGATAAAAAGTAGCTTAGCTTATGTGTTACTCCAAACTATAATCTATCTCTGTGCCAAATTTCATCCAGATCCGGTTGGCCGTTCTGGCTTGAAAGAGCAAACATCCAAACATTTAAACTTTGACATTTCTAATATTAGTAAAGAAGTAAGATTCATTTCAGATTTAACCTGGTAAATTTTCCAACAAACAAACTGATTGAAATTGATGCGGCAAAATTAAATATGTCACATCGTATTTCTATATTATTGGAAGTTTAAACGTAAGTTAAAAGCAAGTTGTAAATATCGAGATGATCGATGGTGGCGTTGAAAATTGTGTCGTATAAGCTTACATAACCATTTTTAGGATAAAATATTTTACAAATAAAAATATTTCTGTGCAAGTTACTTTAACCGCGTATATTTATATATATTTAGTTACTAACTAGTAATAAGTAACTAAACGTCAACCTCGCTGTCCATCAAAGAGAAAATTCTATCAGTATATACGGATTAACTTAGGCGATTGAAGTGATATGTATATGTATCTAAGAGTAAATATATACAGGCTCATATCTATTTTTTTTCTTATATGTAACAACGGAGTGATGCAATTTTTGCGTAAAGTTTTTGATATAAGTATTTTTGAGAATTTATAAGGAAATATATTTATTACTTATTAGATTGCTATGTATGTATGTATTCAGCCCTTTTTATCGTCCCACTGCTGAGCACGGGCCTCCCTTCAATACGAGGGGGATCAGGCCATAGTCCACCACGCTGGCCAAGTGCGGGTTGGCGGACTTCATATGTCTTTCGAAAACTTGCTAGGTTCTCTCAGACATGCAGGTTTCCTCACGATGTTTTCCTTCACCGAAAGAAATATAACTCAAAAATTAATAAAAAAAACCTCTTTCGTAAATAATTATATCGTTCAGTACATCATCTAGGCACAATTTCAAAGAACGAGCTCTAAAATATAATCACAGTCCGGCGTCCTGTTTTATTCGATCCAACAATCGTAATTGCCGTAAACGCACGTGGTGACGCTCTCACGTTTTTAGTCGATAAAATTACAAATTATTTATTCTAAAAATGACTATATGGGCAAATATTTAATGATTAATGTAGTTATTTATCGATAAAAAAATTTAAAACATCGACAATTTAAAAGACTACATTCTTTTTTAAATTATTCATTACCATTCGCCATTACATGTAATTCTAAAATTGTCTATAAAAAAAGTTCTTGAAGAACTCGCGACTGTAGTAGTTAGGGCCTGAGTAGAAGCGGGTCGATAGTACATAAGTAGATAAAGGGAGATAAGACAATACACTGTTACAGGCTTGAGGATTCTATCTACATATTTATACTAATAGTAAAATCGTAGAGGTCGTGTCTATATTAAATGTTTTTAGAACTTTTTTTTTATATTGACCCCAAAACTTTAAAATGTCTGTCTGTGTGTCAATTTGTTCGCGTTTCTCGTAAATACTACTCATCAGATTTTAATATTATTTAGATTTAAAATTTTGATAATAATAGTAGGTCTAGGCCTAGGCAAAATCGTACTTTTTGTCCCTGGAAAACTAAAAGGTTTCCCAAAAAAGGAGAAATGGATAAGAAAATTCTTCAATTTTACTTAAAATAATGAATTTGACAATTTTTGATAATTATAATTATTAATATGTGTAGTAGTTTTTCTATACTTTCATCCCTGAGAATAAAAAACAAATACTATGCCCATTTTGATACAAAATGATTCATAACAACATTTGACGTTACGTACGATACGTAGCGTCAAATAATGTGTTTAGTTTATTTTAACTCCTAATATTTAAATCCTATTCGCATACTTTTTGTTAATGGCTTTTATGCATCTATACATATAATAAAATTGTAACTAAGTCGAATCTGTACATTAAATATTTTTTGGAAAATCTAATTGAAATAGACATTATTATCGATACAGAGAATCTATAGTTTTTGAATTTTTGTCTGTCTGTCTGTACGTCTGTCTGTCTGTTACCGCATCACGAGAAAACCACTGGACAGATTTTGATGAAATTTGATTATAGCTGGTTATCCGGGTCAACATATAGGATACTTTTTACAGCGGGAAAATATCTCATTTCTGAGAAAAGATACAAAAACTGCATTGTAAGTGTATACTAATATGTAAACCCTAAGAATTTGGTTTTTCGTCATCTGAACGCGGGCGGAGCCGCGGGCAATGCTAGTAGCTTATATAATTCTGCTAATTCTATATTTCATTGTTATATAAGTATTATTGAAAGAACTCAATAATGTTTAATTTAATTTATTATTTCTTAAAAAAACATAAAATAGTAAGTATATCTTAACTATAAGCCCTTATCTGGGAAGAGGGGACTGGCTACGTAACACGAGTTCTACACGTAGCACAGGAGTCAGGGACTTTACTTTTGTATATTAGAGATAATATTTTTATTTGTGTCAATAAAAAGTTTATTATTATTATTTATTCAATTTAGTTCTTTTGTTCAGTGACTCCTCCTCCATTTGGGCATCATTTATTTCGCCAATGTCGCGTAGAATGGCGAAGGCACGTTATACATAGTATAACCCATATTATTTAATATTTTCTTAGATTTACGCGAATGTTTGACATTATTAAATAAAACTATCTTTTCGGATTATTTCGCGGATTTATTTAAATTTTTGGTTCCCAAATCGTCACAATTCGGGAACCAAAAATCAAAATAAATCCGCGAAATAATCCGAAAAGATAGTTTTATTTAATAAAACCCATATTATTATTATTTATAACTCACGCGGTATGTGGTGACATTGACAGCATCGGCTTTGGGCAGCGACAGCAACGCGAAGTGCAGCAGCAGCGCCGTTGTCACGCGCCGCGGCGCTCTCATCTCCGGCAACCATTCGCGCGAGTACGCGCTCTCTTGAACAACAATTTTTGAATTATTATATATTACTAGCGACTCACTCTTGCTTCGCTCGGGTTTGTCCCTAGGTTCGTTTTAACGGTTAGTATGAAATAGTAATCTTTGAATTTCTCGGTTATTCTGTACTATAATGTGCATGTATTATACATATAAACCGCATAGATACCCGTTGCGTAGTTTTAAAGATCTAAGCATACATAGGGACAGACAGACAGCGGGAAGCGACTTTGTTTTATATTATGTAGTGAAATCAAGCCTTACTTAGTATTCAGACTTAGGCCTGATCCACACTATAGTGCCGATCATGGTTAGTTCTCGGTCCGATACCCAAGAAACGTCCACTGGAGTGGGATTTGACCGGAACTTGAATCTTACTGATAATATGAATACAATCATTGTTTTTTGTACAAAATATCTTTACTAGATCGATATCGGAACGAGAACGAACCGTGATGGGCACTATAGTGTGGCTCCGGCCTTAGGCTGTAAGAATATAGGCGGAGTGTTATAAAGCTTAATATGAAGTCAAATAAAAAATTTTATGTGTGTGCTTCTTCAACTTTTGTGTGATATGAAATATATTCTGTGATGTATGAGTAGAGTTACCATGTGTTGATATAATTTCTCGAAAAAAAAATGTTTAATTTGATTTTATAAATTTAATTTTATATCTTTGAGCTTACTATTTTTTTCTTACAATTAGATTTATAATATTAATTATAAACCTTATTATTTTTATATCCAACGCAAGGCTTTTAACTACATAACTATGGAAATTAATTAACATAAACATTGTTATCAATATAATATTTTAGAAAAACATAAAACTTTTTAATTAATAAAAATAGCTTACGGGCAATTATTTTAAATATTAACGTTTAATTAAAAATTACCCTTATTATCTGAAGAAAGTAACCGATCTCTATGGCAACATCGGGAAATCGAGATTATTAGCACAAACGGCAAAATCACGCTACTATTTTTGACTTTGACATTATTGGGAGACTCCGCCTTTATAATTTGCTCTGAGGCTTAGTATAGTAAAAATAAATATAACATATCGAATTCTTGACAAGAGTTCTGTATATTATTGTCATTTAATGATTGAGAATTTCCTTTTAATCACTGTTAACTACGAGTGAGAAGTTATAAATATATTTTAAAGCACATGCATATGTATATGATATATTATCTTACTAATATTATAAATGTGAAAGCTTAGATGGATGTTTGAATGTTTGTTACTCAATCACGCCAGAACGGCTGAACGGATCTGGATGAAATTTGTCACAGAGATAGGTCTGGGATAGCACATAGACCACTTTTTATCTCGAAAAAATGTGCGGTTCCCGTGGGGTAGATTTGTTTTTGTTCTTCTAGAGGCGAACCCGAGCGAAACGAGTGTGAGCCGATAGTATACTATATAAAATTATTTCTTCTATTAATATAAAAAATGTTACATAATAGACACAAAAACGTTGGCTTCAATCAACAACGATTTTTACGATCACTTAATTCTATATAATATCCATAAAAAAAATTCTTCAATCAAAAATCTTTGACAAACAGACAAACGTTGGTGACTCGATAATGTTTTGTTTTATAATCATAACAATGAACCCTAAAAACAAATTAAATTACCTACGATGTTGAAATTGACTAATATTAATAGTATCACACTTTTTCTTTAGTTTAGTTGTTGTTGTTAGCGAAAACAAAGTATCAAGATCAACGACCTCTGTCCTTTTCATTTTCCATGGGCTTTATATAATTGGCACGCTTTAAAGCCATTAATTTGAATTGTATTGTTTTTTTATGCATTCCTTTCAGACTTTTAACTTGACGAACCTTAATTACTCTTTCTTTTTGAAGAGGTAAACGGCGTTTTGTTCAGTAAATGTAGAATATATTAAAATTGATAACGTTTGTATCGGAGATTTTATTAGTTTTGTACTAATTAGAATTGTTACTTTTTAAATAAAACTATCTTTTCGGATTATTTCGCGGATTTATTTAGATTCTTGGTTCACGACGTTTCGAATGCTGTACAGCAATCATGGTCACGGGAGAGACTAAGGTTATAGACGTCTCAAACACATATACTTGTTACAGACAGTGCCTACCCACTATTTTACAAAAATAATTTCAAAAATTCCAAAAATGGCAATAAAGTACCTTACAATATTTGTTGATTTTTATTTCTAGACATTTTTAAAAATTTAATCAATATTATAATTAAATATAGCAATATTATTTATCATAATAAATCTAAGAAAGTATTAGAATTGTTACCATTAAATTATTGTAATTTTTCGACAGATTTTGGTATACCGTCGCAGTTACCCTTTGATATTTTCAGAAGATTTAAGAACATATAACGACCCTATGGCGTATAGAATGTACATATTTATACCTACTGTTCTGAGTATATGTATATGTACATATATACAATGTATATACATATTTTTTATTTATAACACTTTATTGCACAAGAAAATGGTACACTAACAAAAAAATACATATATATGTAAGAAGGCCTAATTTATACATAGTATACAGTATATAGCCCTTACATAGGCTGATTCAATTAGCTTAAACATAATCTGTTGAGATTCACGTATCTATCAATGTCTTGATACATCAGTGTTCAATGTCGGATATACAAGCCTAGTATAGTATGTAACATATCCCAAGAGTTTCAATAATCGTATTATTTGCTGTCTAAGTATCTACTCTCAAGTTTGCAGTTAAATGTCTAAGTTTGAAACTGAAACCCAATAGATACGAGCGAGTAGTAGTAGGAGAACAATTCTATGTATTTTACTATATATGTATGTATATAATAATATATTCTGTGTTTTTGAATTAAGATATTTATTCTGGTTAATGTTTCTTAGGATTACGTCACGTATGTGTTAAAAATGAAACGTTAATTCGACGACACGTTTGGCTCAGTTTGTAGTGACTCTATTCGCTGTGCCAGCGGTCGCAGGTTCGAATCCCGCTGGGGGTATTCATTTGTGTGATGAGCATGAATGTTTGTACTCCAGTCATGGGTGTTTATATTTATAATATGTATGTATTTAGAGTTTTATATACCTATGGGCTATGTGTAGTGTATCAATTATCTGGTATTCATAACACAAGCCTCGTAGCTTACCATGGAACCAGATAGTGCTGTGTGTTAATGTCAAAAAAATTACTTATTTATATGTATAGATATCCTTATAATATATCTTCTGTTACATATAAAAAAATTAATCATATGGGCGACTAAGTTTCGCTCGACATTTTTCGGGGAAGATATAAAAATTAATAAACTTAAAAGCAAAACCTTTGTAATTACAAAATTTGATCCAAATCGTTAGAGCCGTTTCCGAGATAAGCAAAATAAATTTTTATTTAATGGTTAAAAAATATTGTGAAGGTCTTTGAATATTTGGTTTTTAAGAAGATGGGATATTTGTTACTCAATCATGGATCATATATCTAGTCCTAAACTAGTACATAGATTTTATTAGTCTTTACTTTTTACTATCGTACTGTCTTCCTGTCTGATTATAAAATATAAACTACAAAGTTGTTTTGTTATAGCCTTGCAGTCATGTGCTTACCTATAGATGGCGCTGCCCAAGAACATCGAAAGAACACATACGCAGTCGAAGCCTCGGGCAAGTACAAATTACCTTTCTCCTTAACCCTACTGATACAAATATTTATGATTAATGTTTTTATACATAATTGCAACAATATAAGATAATAATTTAAAACATAATATAATGTAAAGGCAAGTTTCAGGTAGATTTATTTAATACCTAGTTCATTTTGTAGGAAAATCACAAAGTGTCATAACAATGATAAATAAAAATATATGAATAATAGCAGAACACGCGGCTTCGCTCGCGCTAAAACTACAAAAAGGCTCTAAAATGGTAGGTTTCATACAAACTTTAAGACCACGAGACCACACTAAGTTAAAAGCTTATAAACTTACCCGAAATATTGATGCATGTGTTTGTGGATAGCTTTTTATTAAATCTTTTTTTAATGTAAAATTCGAATGAATCCATTTTCAGATAATATTTTACTGAAAAACCGTAGTGTAGGCATGTTATGAAATTCACAAGTGATAGTGCAATTTCAGTCTCACTCCAACTCGTAATAACGGTATGTGCCTATTTTTCCGGGTCGCTACTTTGCTGCGACACTGAAGTGCAGCGCTTTCATCATAATATTCTAATATTAAACTGTACACTCAATGTAGAAGAAAATTGATGTATAATTAACTTTTATAATTCATTATCTTTAGTTGTCGTTTTGATGCGTTAGAACATGAAATCACAAGATAAAACTTATTATAAATTATATATCTAAGTTTTTTCCGCTGAGTTTATGTTTATTCGGGCTAATCTCAGAAACTACTGTCCAATCCATACCATTCACGAAGAAAAGGGTAGGCTATAAGTTATTAACATTTAGCCAAAATGAGATATTGATATGATTTTTTTTATAGAAAAAGGGGGCAAACGAGCAAACGATCCACCTGATGGTATGTGACTATCGCCGCTCATGGACATCTGCAACACAAGAGGAGTTGCGAATGCGTTGCCGGCCTTTAAGGGACCTGAAGACATGGCTCTTGAATCGAAATCGTCCCTACCCGAGAAAAGTGTTAAATATAATATTTTAACTGACTGATGCCTATGGGTGAGTGCCATGTGTGTGGAAAAGTGACAGAATACTTTTCAGAAATAAATAGACAATTTTGAATATTGAAAGAACAGAATATTCTTTGTTTTATGCATATACTCGTAAATGGGCGACATTTTCTCAAGTGACTTCGAGTTCAAAGTTAAGTGACGAGACACGAAGTGAAAATTGCGGTACAGTAATGATAAAAAGGTAGTGGAATATTGTCATTAGTGACTGAATAAAACATTGTACTACAAGTATGTACTCGAACT